AAATAACAGGAAAGCTGTTCATATTTTCTGTCTGAAAGAGAAAAATTGGCCAGTATCAGTTCTGAAATCACCAAATATTTGTGTCAGTATTGATCTTAAAATTCCTGTTACTGGTCACGTCTAGAAGAGACCATACGGACATGATCCCTTTCAATGTCATAATGCACACATAGATATACTGCACAACATTTAAACAACACCCACAGGAAAAGTAAACAAATTAATGCAAATGTTTTATGGTCCTCTTGGATATTCTTTGGCAAGATTGTATGAATTTCTGAGCCGATGAGCCTAAAAGTGTCTTAAATTTTCTTTTTAGAGGAGAGCAACCCTTTACTACAAAGTGGAATTGACAGTAATAAACATATTTTATTTTATATTAACAAAGCTAAAACTCCATTTAATAAAATACAAGGACATGATTGTCTTCGCATAAATGAAGATGGCAAACTAGGCAGCCACAAAAACATTGGTGAAATAGCAAAACTTTGCAATATGAATATATAGCGATTTCTCTAAAGTAGCAACTCAGCAGGCATAAAAATCTTCATGCCTGCTGAGTGTTTTGGTTCATTTGTATAATTACAGTGTCATAGTGTAAACCTATCACATTGTTTTTACTCACTTCATAGGGTACATTCTGATGGCAATGTCCATGCCTGGGCAGTATGACAGGAAGGCAGCCAGAGCCATCTCCTCAAAGATGCCAAAGATGAGAACGTAGTTCCTGTGAAATAAATAAATGTAAGAATCAATAAAACAGCGGAGACTAATCTCGTTAAAACTGGACTTATTTGCCGGTTTATTTGGAAGATGGCGGTTCCAAAGTCCCAGTTGTTATTGGAGATCTCATGTATATCTGTGCATACATACTTCATTCCTTGTTTCACAATGGAGTTGGTCCTGGTTTTACAGATGAGCAGATCGGCCACCTGGACGATCACAATACTTGTGAAGAAAGCTGTGTGGCAGGTAAACTCAACGATCTTTCTGCGCTCGTACGTCTGGGGGACAAAAGCTAAATTAACACTGAATCACTTAAACATACCACTGAAACACACACGTCTTACAATTCTCACAGTCCGGAGTAAAGTTAGTAACATTACTGTGACTGACCCACTCCTGTCCATAGCTGTCTTCCAGGTCATTTAGATATCTGTTATCCCAGAACACTCTGATTCCCACCAGGTCTTTGGGGAGGAATCCATTCTCAGACAGGATGACAAAATAAGTGAAAAAGCCACCTAAGGCCTGCATCATACCTAAAAGAAGCAAAAACATCAAAGAATGCTTATCAGACAGGGTTACAACTTTTACTAATGACAAATATAAATAACAACTGTGGCTGTCTCTTCATAAAGAAAGCAGTAGCAAATATGACATGTCAATGTAATACTCTGCAAATCCATGGTGAATGAAAATTAAACACATTAATTGTTTGAAACAATGCCGCACGCTTAACCGATTAACAAATTAAATAATGATCAGATTTGCCTGAAAAAAACTGACAGATTCCATTTTTAATGCCTGCAAACAAAAAATCTTTAAATTTAATAAAGTAATATGCATTTAAATATGATATTTAAAGGTGTTTTAGTGTCTGCAGTTCAAACAAAATCCAGCAGGGGGCAGTAGAGGAAGGCTTAAAACAGCACAAAAGTATTAAAAACAGATTTGATATAGCTAAAGGTTAAACAGTGAACAATGTGTTACCAATTTGCCCATAGGCCATACTGATGAGTCTCTCATTCACCAGCTTGTCTGTTTGGGCATTTCTAGGCTGCCTCTTCATGATGTCACTTTCAGCTTGTTCATAGGCCAGGGAGATGGCAGGGACCTGTCATGGCACAAGAAAAGAATAAGAAAAAACAAATTATCCACCCATAAATGCCTTATCATCCGCTTGAGCTTCTGTGTAGAACAGATTCAGTAAGCTGGAGAGGAAATGCCCCCTCATTAACAAAGAGATCGTCTTTTAGCCTCCAAAAAGAGATTGTTGATCTAAGAAAAACCCAGGACATCTTCCTATTCATCTCTGATCAAGGAAAACAGCAAAAATTGCAGGTTTTCTTTTCTGTACCCAACTTACTTAAGTATAAATAACTTTATTAATTTCTTCATAAATAATATTTGAACGATTTAAAAAACAACATTTATAACAATGTCACAAACATATCATTACTCACAGTAAGCTTTAATACTACTGATATTTATTTAGACTCTCTC